AATCCCTGGACATAGATGTCTCCTTGTTATGTGAGCGGGCAGCAGCATCTAAGTATCAAACGGCAGACAAATTTAAATGACTGGTATCATGTCCAGAATTAGAAACAGGAAAAGACATGGGTTTTTACAGCAAAGTATATTTTTGATTTGAGCTTCCACAAACCTCCATTACAGTTATCCGCAATGCCACATCGCTGCGAATTGTGGAAGAGCTTTTGTATGCAGCACCATCTTGGCTCCCATAGCAAATCATTATGTTTACCTTATGACTTCCAGATCTGGATTGCAAAACTCAGGAGGACCACTAGATGACAAGCAAAGGCTTGGTTCCCTGTAACTTAAAGTCAGTGGGGAAGCCAGATTCATTTAACAACCGTGCCACTAACTTAACTGTAGTGATTCATTTAACAATGGTGACAAGCAAGATTGTGAAATGGGGCAAAATTCATGTAATAAATGTCTCATTTAGAAATAGAAAATTTGGGGCTTAATTGTGGCCGTAAGTTGAGGACTACCTGTATGTTATATGAATCTCACAAGTGGCCAGTACAGTCAACTTGCTTTGCAGAAACTAGAGTTTGAACCAGATGCTGTGGCTTATAAAACATACATGGCTACAAGTCAGTTTCTATCTCTGATCAATCAACAGGATAGACATAAGTTAGTGTGTGCTTGTTGATTCTTTACAGTACAGTGTATCATAGAAGCACTCAGAGATTGGATTCACACTAAGCGCAAAGCCATGTTTAACTATGGTTTGTTCAAAGCTAGAATTAATCAGTTTTATACCACAAAATATGCCATAAACTATATTTTAAACATTATTGTATTTAGGGTCTCATGTGGACAGCAATCAAAGTAGGTAAATTATAATATAATCTAGCACAATGTGTGAACCTAGATATTAAATCTAGATCTGTGTGCAAAATGGGGTTCCTGAACTGTAAAGCTACTAAATAGTGGTACTACAAAGAGATACACAAAATTCTAGTTCACAGCTTGCATCTAACAGCTGGGTTACATTTGCAACCTAGACCTGTAGTCCTAACATAAAAGTGCATTTATACAAAACACTTAAGTAATTAAGTATGTTAATGGGTTTACAACCCAGCTTTTATAACCTGGGTTTGTTTTGAGTAAGTAAATCACATCTAGCCAAAGTTCCAAGAACAGCCATTTTAGATTTATACAATACTGTAAGCCACAAACTTTAGTTGTGGGGATATAATGGGATATAACATAGTAAATAGCATGAATATGCAACTAGAAAACAAATGGAAAAATTCAGTTTTACTCAAAATCTTTGATTTCAGGGATCTAAAGGACATGGGGGGGGGGGGAGAAATAATGCAGCCCTTGGCCAGAATTACTTAGCATGTAGTGAGAACCCAACTGATTAAGGTTTATTTAGTTAACTATGGATAGACAAGGCATGCCTTGGCATGTTGTACAGTCCACCTCAGTAAATTACAAGCTGCACTAGTTTGTCAGCCTTTCAGAAAAATTCTTAAACCAGTATTTGCCAGGGACAATTCTATTCTAAAACAGAGCCTTGGGGTACTCCACTGCATACTTCCCTCCATGTAGAAGCAGTTTCATTGAGGACTACACATTGAATGCAGTTGGTCAGCCAGTTACAAATCCATCTGGTGGTGATGCTGTCTAACCCACATTTTTCTACTTTATCTAGTAGTAGGTTATGGTTTACTTCCGTGATGGTGAACCTATGGCACACGTGCCACAGGTGGCACGCAGAGCCATTTGTGTGGGCATGTGAGCCCCAGCCAAACTTACCTGCACTGCGCATTCGCGTGCCTTCCAACTGATTTTTGGCCCGTTTGAGGCCTTTTTCAGCCTCCCAGAGGCTCAAGGGAAGCCTCTGCAGCCTCGCGGAGGCCAAAAAATGGGCCTTCTGGAAATACCAGAAGTGACGAAACCGGAAGTGACAAAACGGGCCCTCCAAAGTCTGCAGAGGTTTCCCTCGAGCCTCTGGGAGGCCGAAAAAGGCCTTAAATGGTCTGAAAATCAGCTGGGAGGCACACGCATGTGCAGTGCAGGTAAGGGTGTGTGTGTTGCATGCTCATGTGCAGGGGGGGTGGCATTGCATTGTGGGTGCCAGCAAACACGCACTTTCGGCACACCACAACAAAAAGGTTCACTATCACTGGTCTACTTTATCAAATGCCTTACTGAAGTTCAAGTAAATTATATCAACAGCATTCCTCTGGTCAACTAATTTTGTCACTTTGTCAAAGAATGTAATAAGGTTAGTCTGGCATGATCTGTTTCTAACAAACCCATGTTGGCTTTTGGTTATTATTTTGTTTGCTTCTAGGTGTTCGCTGACTGGTTGCTTGATTATCTTTTCCAGAATCTTCCCTGTTATTGTGGTCAGGCTGATAGGTCTGTAGTTTCCTGGATCTATTTTTTTCCCCTTTTTTGAAGATGGGAACTACATCAGCTCTTTTCCAGTCCTCTGGCAGTTCCCCAGTGCTCCAGGATCTTTGAAAGATATAGTTCAGTGGTTCTAAGATCTCGTTTGCCAGTTCCTTCAGAAACTTGGGGTGTAATCCATCCGGTCCTGGTGATTTGAACTCATCTAGGGTAGACAGGTTCGGGCTATTTGCTGATATTCTGCCTTAAGATATTTGCCCTTCTTTTCACTTTTTTATACTTGTCGTTTTTGTCTTTCAAATATATGTAAGAATATAAGAATAGTATTGCAGGATCAAACCAAGGCCCATCCTAGTCCACCAGTTTGTTTCCCATATGCTTCTGGGGCACTCACAAATGATGTGGAAGACACTTGGTTCCCCTACAGTTGATATTGGAAGCAAACTTCTGAGACCCATACTCTTCATCCTAGCAACCCTCGATTGACCTCTTCTCTCGGATGTTATCCAAACCCTTTAAACCCAACCAAGGTAGTGGCTAGTACGATCACATCTTGTGGCCACAGTTAATTACCTAAAAATGATAGCAGGATGGATCAGAGGGAGTAAGGGAGCAAATGGTTCAGTGTGCAGAACTCAACAGAACTTCGAAACTCGGTAGAAGAGATGTGATGAACCCCAGAGACTGGGTTTGTGCAAGATGCAAGAGTAGAACGTGGTTGTTGAGTATGTGGTTCAATGTGTCCTGAGTCATGGTGGCAGAGTATTTAGAATGCAGTACTCCAGGCTACTTCTGCTGACTGCCGGCTGCCAAAAGTTTGGTAGTTCGAATCTCACCAGGCTCAAGGTTGACTCAGGCTTCCATCTTTCCGAGGTGGGTAAAATGAGGACTCAGATTGTTGGAGGCAATTGGCTGACTCTGTAAACCGTTTAGAGAGGGCTGTAAAAGCACTGTGAAGCAGTATATAAGTCTAAGTGCTATTATCATCATAACCAGAGCTATTTTGGGATAACTAAATCCTGAAAAGGAAACCATTTTCAAGGCTGATTTCTGATGGTGAGAAAAATGTTCTACCCAGCAGCAAAAGAAATCAAGAACAACTGCTTTAATTTCATGAATGATGTCTAGATGGGGGGAAAGCTGCTTTTCCTCATTATAATGTAGCTCCTGGCTTGGCAAAAAAACATGTTCTATGCCTCTACATTGTTTAGACTAATCACAGCTGTAGTGGTTTGCAAGCATATTTTCTGAGGGTTTTTTTTTCTCTCCATCCTGTGTAGAGCAGTCTTGCAAAGAAAATGGTGTGTGTAAAGGCATTTTGTTCCTTTTTTTTTTGCTAGGGTTTTAAGTAAGTATTGACTTTTATTTTTATTCCTCCTCAGCTTGGGGAAAGTAATTTGAAACATACACAGCCAAATATGATTTCAAGGTCATAAAATACTTATCAAGCTCTGCTACCATTGTTATTACTCTACTGTTTATTATTAGGAGCTGGTCTGAGGAAAAACAAGTCAAAACTGACAACAGGAGTCAAAAACATTTGAGAATTGTGAAATTTCGTAGAAAGACTTGAGAAAGAAAAATTCCAAGAGATTCCAGTCCTGATGTAGACAGAAGTAAAAGTACTTAGTAAATAAGCCAAGATAGATGTTTACTGTTTGTTTAAACCTAACTTGAAAGAGGAACAAAAACCATGCATATTATGAAAATTTCATGACTGCTTCAAGATTGAGAAATAAACATTTCCTAGATGACTGGAAAGTTCAGAAAGTAGAGAAGGATACATTCCTGAATTCCAACTATGGGGTTACGAATAAATGAACAGACCCATATGGATATTTGTGCGTGTAATGATTCAAACGCTGGATGAGAAGTGAGGAGACCAGGTCTTCCCCCCACCTCCTTGGGCAAAGAAACTGGCTGGATAACTTTGGGCCAGTAAGTGGGAAGTTGAAAACCATAAACCTGCTAACCCACATTGGACCAGCATTATGGTCCATAACCTTCAAGGAAGAGACCTTCATCCTGCAATAGGTTGTCTGGCGATAATAGTAATCTGCAGACACAGCACAACATTAAAAATGTGCACTTCTTTTAAACGCTATCAGAGATCAAAGTTTGCCTTTTGCCTATGCAAGGCTTTAAAAAAAGGCGGTACAATACAGAGAAAGAAAGGGGAAAAAACCCAACAACCCCAAAGTAAGCCGAGTTCAAAACGAACTGATTCCCCCCCACCCCACAACAACAGCTGTTAGCCCAACCCTCCATAGTGCTAGGAAATAAATTGCCAACACCTCCTCTTTTTCAGACTTTTGTCAATATCCTTGCGGATGGGGAAGGGGGGGGGAACCAATACTCTCCTCCTCGGGGAAGCGGTAAAAGCCAAGAGGTATTCATGGCTGTGTGTGGCTAACGAAATCCCATTTTTATCCAGTTATAAGAAAGAAAAGCCAAGACCCGAAGAGCTGGGATTGGGATTGAAATCTGCTTGCAAGCACTCGGCTCTCGACGCCTGGCGCTGCAGTACGAAAAAGCCAACCTACTCAGCAAGGAGTCGGTGTGGAAGAGAGAGCGGGAGGAGGAGGAGGAGGAGGAAGCGAGGGGAGTGGGAGAGCGGAGGATTTAGCAGACGCTCCAACGTGGATAAGCTTCAAGCTTTCTGATACATTCCTGCCTGGCCAGGGCGACACTTCCTGCAAGAGCTGTGCCGACTTGTTGCAAAGATCTCTGTCTTAGAAAGCAACGAAATCAATCCACTGGGTTCCTCGTCTCCTTCCCGCGCCTCCCCCCACCCACCCCGATCGCTTCCCCTTCCCGGCTCCAGCGACGTCCCAGTAGGTCGAATCCAGACCCTTTCGGAAGGAGGTCGGGGCAATTTGATGGAGACTTCAAGCAGCCTGGCGTTTGGGGGGCGATCGCGGGGGGATTTTGGAGGGGACTGAAGAAGGGAGGGAGGGGTGGTGGTGGCAGGGCAGACATGCAGAGAGCCAGCGTGATGGGGATGCCCAGTCCGGACCCCAGTGGATCATATTCCCAGCAATTCAAAGCCATGAGGTTCTCCTATCACATCGAAGGGGGAGCGACTACTTCGCCCCAAATCCGAGCTGGTAAGCGCCAGAGAACTGGGAAGGGTGTTTCTTGGGGGCGAGGGCTTCTGTGCTTTGGGTAACGAATAAAAGCAGCAGTTGCTCCTTGACGCCGAGGGAAGACGGGTACAGTCGTACTGTAAAATAAATGCTTGGTTTCGATAGTCATCTTTAGCAAAGGGAGCTAATGCCTAATGGTTAAAGGCGGGAGCGCCTATATCCCAGAAGGATCTCGGGTTTTCTTCTGCAGTTGGGGGAGCGGGCGGGATCCTACGTTAGAGCAATGAATTGAAAAAGACATTGTTTTATTTGGAAAAGAGAAATACGTGGAATCTGGCGAAGATATTTGGGCGCCTGTAACGCAAAAGCTAACGATAAAAGCGCGGTGGAATTTCATTTTCGTAATTTGTAGCCGCTTCGAGTTAAAGTCGACTAAAAGAAAAGTGATGCGGGGAGGGGAGTTTTCTTTCCTTATGCTGGGGAGGGGGTAAAAGCAATGCTGTGCTTAAAATAATCCCACTGTTGTGGGTGATAGGGTTAAAAAACTAGACATTCCGTTTTAGGCTCCTGCCCCAAAGTGCTTGCAATAGGAGTGTGGCTCCTGTGTCCGATTTTCCACCTCCTTTTAGGATAGTTAGCTTGGCCTTTCATTAGGAAAGTTTCCCCCCTCCCCTGTTTTTTTTCTTTTTTTTTTTACAATCCTGCCATTTTGCTTTTCAAATCCCTAAAACTGCAGGCAGCTTTCGGAACAAAGAGACACGGCAGTTAAATTGAAATGGAGGAGGTTCAGAAAAGAGATGTTTGCGGGAATATTCGCTTCAGCACTCTTTAATCCCAGGATTTTTTAACACTGCTGCTGAGGAAAACAGAACTGCTTTCATTTCAAATGCAATTCATTTATCTCCTCTCTTCCACCCTTTCACAGACAATTGGCTATCACTTCCATAGCCAGGCAATTGAACTTGGTGCTATTGAATGATCTTGGAGACAACTTGTTGCCAAAGTTTCTCTATCTGGAATATTTATATTGGGATTATGTAAATTGCATCAGTGGAACGCCTTGCCACTTTGTTCTCTGGCTGTGTTCACATAATATGCTGAACTGTAAAAAGCCAGTCAGAGTCTAGTGAAATATTGTGACAAGACAACTGTATGGCTAATTTGTGATTTAGCCATATGAATGCAGAAAACTTGGTTAAATGGATTGGCATCTATGCAAACAGATGCAGAAAAATTCAGAGCTTTTAACCAGGTTAAAAGCTTACAGAAGGAATTAATCATATGTCATGTATTGTACAGTATTTAGCTTAATGGGATTTTTATACTGTATCTTCTGAGTCAGATGCCAGCCTACTGCCAGTCAAAGTGCAAACGTGCAGGTTGGTGTCTCTTTTCTCCCCACACCTTCGTTGATGTGAAGAATCTCACAGGAGATATTGACACATTTGAAGTCACCCTTGCAAGTCTGATATTCTTAGCAGTGTTGTGCGGCCTGTGAAAAGCTGTGAAACACACAGGCATATCTCAGGTACAGAAAATGTGACTTGAGAATAAGGTATCTTGTCTCTCCTTCTCTCTCTCTCCCCTCCTTCATAATAATTGGAAGCCTTGCTTTAAAGCATTCTTGATTATGATACCAGGCCCCAGGCCTTAACAGAGACAGGGCTTCCTCCTGGCTAGAACTGAATGGAGGCCTACAGAGTTGGCTTCAGAGCATAACTCTGAAATGGGAGATGAAATGGGATACACAGTGGAGCCTTTCTGGCCCTGGTTTTCCCTGAAATGGGGCAAACCTTTCCCATCTCCGCCCCTTTCCTTTGTTGATTCAGACCAGAGTAAGCTTTGTCTCTTTCTCTGTTTTTTCCCTTCCCCTGTGCCTCAACCAACACCTGGCAAGACTGCAAAGGCATGGGGTGGGTCCTGCCACTGTGGAGAGAAACCATACAAACCCAACAAGCTTTTCATCTATAAAGCCAACACAGCTTGGATTAAGGCCCTGTTTTGCTCCTTCCAATGTTAAAAAATACACAATCTCCAGTACTGCAACAACAGCAGCTAGTATATTCTCCCTATTCCCTCTTTTTTTTAATCCTTCCAGACCATGATTTAGCCACTAGGCTCCTCTTTCGTTTTTGGGCTGAGGAAAAACAACAACCCAGGAATCTTAGCTTTCTGAACTCTGAGCTTTGAAATTGTAAACCTTTCTCCTTCAGCAACCAGTGGGCTGAAGACATAAAGCTGCCATAAATAAGATTGTGGTGACGGTTGCCCTCAGTGATCCAGGCCCAAATTGCCTGGGTGGCGGTGCAGTGTCATAAGTTCTACATAGTTGCAAACAGAAGGATCCTTATAGCTGGGGGAGAATAGGGGTCTGCTGGTGTGCTTCTGTCCCTCTTACCTTTCAGGCTATTGGCTCTAGGTATATTCTCTACTGTTTTAGGAATGCTAAATGATGATGATTAAAGAGGTCTTAAGCAGGTCTGTTCACTTCAACTGGAACCCAGCTTAAAGATTCTGCCTATAAGTGCATTGGCTCTTTTTTGCAGTCCAGGTTTTCAGCCACAAAGGAAGCCTTGATTTGTTGCTTCTACAAAGGGGGTGGCTGACTGGCATGGCTTGGATGCAAAATGTCTTGCTTAACAGGAAGTGTGTTGGAAATCTCGTGTTCCTTAGGAGCTAGTCCAGATTGTCCCAACTTGGCACCCTCCAGATATGTTTGCTCTCCCAGGCCCCGTGACTGCATTGGTTGGAGTGTGAAGTGCTGCAGTACATGTAGAGCAGTTTGGGAGGTGATCAATTCTGCAAAAAAACCAGGAATGTTGTGAGAGACACATGACATTTGCTGTATGGAATTGGCAAATGAAGTTGTAAGGAGACCATTTACAATGGGGAAGGGCCAGCTATATAAGTCATGATTGTTTATATGCTTTTTTTACATTCCTGCAGGAGCAACTGGCCTGCTGTTTGATTAGGTGCTAACCATCTTTGTTCCCTGACTTGACTTTTTCCCCCATTCCAGTATCAGTAGCTGCATTTCTGATCTCCTCCCTTATCCTTACAAAGCTTTGAGGAACTGCTTGGTTGACATAAAAACAAAGCCACATCCTGGCTCCAGGCAAAGCCGCAGGGGGACTATCTGGGGGCCAGAGCCTGGCTTAGGATGAGGCCAAAAGGCCCAGGCCTTCTAGTTCTTGCTGGGGAGATGCATGCGGTCTGAAGAACTTGACACTGGTTGGCTCAGAGAAAGGGAGATGCCCAAGGAGCTTTGTAAGGAGAAAGGGGAGAAAAAATGCTTACCTTCTTGCTCACCTCTAATATTTTCTCTGATCTTCAAGCGGATTAAAACAAATCAATGGGAAAACAAAATCAGCTCCGGGCCCTTAAACAAATCTCATGTTTATTTAAAAATGCATAGTTTGAGAACACCCCAGAGTTTTAAATCAAACTTAAATATGTGTCTTTCAGCAGTTCAGCTGATGTTTCATGTAAGTGAACTGAGGTGTATCAAGAAATGTGGGATTAAATTTTAATTGAATAATGTTGAGGCTCAAATGTTGTAGTTACCTGTGAAGAGTATAAGTAAAAGAGGGCTTGCTTCTGAAGAGAGAGAAGTAGGTTTGTGATGCAGTGCTCTTGTTTTTAATCTTGGTTGAGTTGACTTAATTTGTTGTGTGAACCTTGCCAGTACCAGTTTATTCAGGGAACCATTTTTAAACGAGAAATGGCTTGTATTTTTAGGAATTGAATCATATTTATTCTTGTATGGTATTATAATTATTTGCCTTACTAAACAATCAGTACCGTTTACTCCCTGACATTAACTAAGATTAATTTCTCAATTGTAAACCCGTATTAAATTTTGCAGTCACATTAGGGGAAGTAGTGATCTAATAGTTCCTAGGTTTTATTGAAGGGTTGAGAATCTAATTAGTGCTTTAATCAAGCATTATGACCTATTGTTTAGGGTGAACCAAAAAGCCTGCATTCCAGATCTGGGAGTAGTACCACTAATGTAGTTTGTTTGATCTTTGCTTCATGTGCGGTGAGAAACTAGCTACTTCTGGAATGATGAACAAAATGCTATTAGAAAAATCATGGTTTGGTGTGATATGTAAATCCAGTCCGTAAGGCTGTTTTGGAGATGCCTAGAGGGGTTTGGGGTACCATTGAGTAAGCAGGCAGGCCTCACCTATGGACCACATTTTATTTCTAGAGTTTTCTTGAAATTAATGGGAGCTTCTATCATTTTCCGTGGGGAAGGTGCAAGAGAATTCCTGTTGAACTTTGCTTTGATTGATTGGTGAAATGTGTGTTTTTCTACCTTAAGAGGCCAAAGCACTTGAGCTCGTCCAGATGGGTGCCGAGGGGCATTAAGGAACCCTTGAGTAGAAAATTGAGGGTACCTCTGGGAACTGCTGCTGTCTTTCCATGCCTACAGTCTGATCTGGCTGGCCCCACCATTTTTTCCATGCATCTGGGTGAGAAGTGCTATTTTTAGAAAGAGGCCGGGCTGAGGAACTCTGGGGCTGTAGTTCACTGTGTCAACGGCAGCTGCCAGGTTCAGCGTGGGGAAGGGGAAAATTCGGTCTGAGACTTGAGAAAAGTTTCCTAGGCTGAAAGGGGAAGATTGTTGAGGAACAGTACACCTTGTTTGTTAACAACATAGTCCCAAAGATTGCTGGGTCGGCAAATAAAATGTTCCAATCCTGATGCCCAGGATTGTGTCACTGTGACATCCCACTGGCATTGCAACTATGCTGAGACCGTTATCCCACTTCATAATGTGGTTGCAAGAATTTGGGAGTAATTTTGCCTGAGCTTTCCCCTTTCAAATTGTATGATGTCAGAAGATTAGGAATTGGCAGAAGAAATACTATTTCAAGAGATGCCTATTTAAATTGTGCAACTGACAAATAACGTTCAGAAGCAGCTACTGTCTCAGATGGTTGCATGGAAAGTCCTTATCAATGGTTGCTGTCCTCTCTTGGAAGACCCTTGATCAATTCCTGGACAAGACGTCT